CTGTAGCTAGGCCCGCAGGCGCTGCAGCAGGCCGAGCCCCCCTTTGCTGCTGCTGCTGCTGCTGCTGCTGCTGCTGCTGCTGCTGCTGCTGCTGTAGGGAATGTCCGTGCTTTACCAGGCCTTCCGGCGCTGTGCTGCTCCTTGCCTGAGGGCCACAGGGCCCCCCAGGCGAGGAATAGAAGAACTATGGAAGGGTGCGAGCCTGCTGCTGCAGTTGCTGCTGCAGTTGCTGCTGCAGTTGCTGCTGCACTTGCTGCTGCTGTTGCTGCTGCTGTTGCTGCTGCTGTTGCTGCTGCTGTTGCTGCTACATTCGCTAGTCCAGATGTTGAGCCTGTTGCTGCTTCAGTTGCTGCCGCATTTGCCGTTGCAATTGCTGCTGCTGCTGCTGCTGCTGCTGCTGCTGCTGCTGCTGCTGCTGCTGACGCTTCCGTTTCGTCTGTCGCAGTCCTTGCTGTTATGCTGCTGCCGCGCGTGCTGCTGTTAGTTCTGCTGCTGCTGCCTTGTCTGCTGCTGAAGCTGCTGCTGCTGCTGCTGCCTGCGGCCCGTCCGCGTTCACAGCAGCAGCAGCGGCAGCAGCAGCACGCGCTGCGCAACAGCAGCTGCTGCCTGCGTCACCCACGCACTCTCCTGTGTGCTGCTGCTTCCGCTGCTGCTGCTGCTGCTGCTGCTGCTGCTGCTGCTGCTGCAGGGGGCTATCTGGACCCCTCGCTGCCTGCTGCTGCTAAGCATGCATTGGCTGTAACTGGAGACGCCTGGCCTGCGCGTTTGCTGCGCAACAAATCCTTCGAAGACCTGCACAAGCTGTGGTCAGGAGCCACTTGCTGCTGCTGCTGCTGCTGCTGCTGCTGCTGCTGCTGCTGCTGCTGCTGCTGCTGTATTCTTTTGCTGCTGGTGCTGCATTGGTGCGCTGCTGGTGCTGCAGCTGTATTGGTTTGCTGCTGCTGCTGCATTCGTTCGCTGCTGCTGCTGCACTCGTTTGCTGCTGTGCTGGTTTGCTGCAGCGTTCGTTTGCTGCTTTCGTTTGTTGCTGCTGCTGCTGCATTCGTTTGCTGCTGCTGCTGCGCTTTCTCATTTGCTGCTGCTGTAGTTCATCTGTTGCACTCCCTTTGCTGCCAAAGTCCCCTGCTGCATCTGTCTCTTGCTTCTGTGCCGCTGTTGCTGCTGCTGCTGCTGCCATTGCTGCTGCTTTTGCTGCTGCTGCTGCTGCGCTTGTTGCTGCCCCGCGCTGCTGCCCAGAGCTTCTCACATTTGCTGCTGCCTCTTTTGACCTCCTTTTATCTCTTTTTATTCTTTTTACTTTTTAATTTTTAATTTTTAATTTATTTTTTATTTAATTTAAATTAATTATTTATTTTTTGCTCAGGTTTGTTTTGTTAAAAGAAAAGAATCTGCTGCTGGGCGAGCGCTGGGCTGCTTGGCAAACAAAAACGCAAATGAAACATCCAGAGAGACTCAAGAAGGTCCTAAACCCTAAACCCTAAACCCTAAACCCTAAACCCTAAGCTCTAAACCCTAAACCCTAGATTCTGTGCCGCGCGGTGGAGTTGGAGCGAGACATTCTCTTCTGAGCTGACTGCAGCTGGGCAAGGAGCCTAGGGTTTCGGGTTTAGGGTTTAGGGTTTAGGGTTTAGGGTTTAGGGTTTAGGGTTTAGGGTTTGTTTCAGGTGAAGCTGAGCATGAAGCGAATTTTGACAGTTTTGTCTCGCCGGGCCATTCATGAACAATGTCTGTTTGCAAAGCGGCTGCTGCAGCAGCAGCAAAAGAGAGAAGCTTTGGAGCTGCAGCGGCATGCACTTGAGGAGTTGCTGCTGCAGCTGCAGCAGCGCGTGCGCCTGCAGCAGCAGCAGCAGCAGCAGCACGGCCGCAGCAGCAGCAGCCTCGCCTGCCTCGCCTGGCAGCAGCAGCTGGAAGCAGCAAGAGCGCAGCACGAGGAAATCCTCATTCAACTCAAGCCTCTGCGAGAAGGTTTGTCTTTTTGTTTTTTAATTCTTTTTTCTTTTACTTTTTAATTTCTTTTTAATTAATAATATTCCTTTTTGCTGCTGTTTGCTGCTGCCATCTTGCTGTTCTCTCGAACCTTTTTTGCTGCTCGGCACTCTCTTTGCTTCTCGCCTCTTTGAACCATCTTGCTCGCCATTCTTTTAGGGTTTAGGGTTTAGGGTTTAGGGTTTAGGGTTTAGGGTTTAGGGTTTGTGCGCAGAGACGCAAAGCCTGCTGGCCCCCAGCTGGCAATATGAAAAACGCTATTCAGATCTTCCGGGGAGAATTACTTGGAGGAGAGAAGCGCTGCCTGTGCTGCAGCAGCAAAAGATACTTTTCAAAGGGCCTTTTGCTGCTGCAGCAGCACAAGATACTTTCAAAGTATCTTTTGCTGTAGCTGCAGCAGTGAAAGGAACTTTTAAAGTTTTGATTGCTGCTGCAGCAGCAAAAGACAGCTGCAGCAGCAGCAGCAGAAGAAACTATTCAAGTTCTAATTGCTGCTGCAGCAGTACAGGAAGTTCAATGGTTTCTTTTGCTGCAGCAGCGAAAGAAACTTTTCAAGTTCTAATTGCTGCCGCTGCAGCAGCAAAAGATACTGTTCAAGTTTTAACTGCCGCTGCAGCAGCAAAGGAAACTGTTCAAATTTTGATTGCTGCTGCAGCGGTGCTGCTGCAGCAGCAAGTTTTAAACGCCGCTGCAGCAACAAAAGAGACTATTTAGTTTTAATTGATGCAGCAGCAGCGGAAGAATCTATTTAGGCTTTGAGTGCTGCTGCAGCAGCAAAAGAAACTACTGTTAAGTGCTGCAGCAGCAGCAGGGTGAACCATTTAGCTTTTAATTGCAGCGGCAGCAGCAAAATGAACCATTTAGGTTTTAAGTGCTGCTGCAGCACTTAAAACAGCAGCAGCAGCACTTAAAACCAGTGCTGCTGCAGCAGCAAAAGGAGTCCTTTGCATGTGCACTTAGCAGCAAGAGAAGCAACTTGTGTTGCAAATGCTGCAACAGCAAAAAAGTCATTGCAGTTCTAAAAGCTGCAGAGGCAGCCCTTCTTCTCATTGGCAGCTGCAGCAGCAGCTGCAGCAGCAGCTGTTGCAGCAGCTGCAGCAGCAGCTGCAGCAGCAGCTGCTGCTGGTGCTCCCTGGTCCAGCAGCAAAAGTTGCTTTTCTTATTGTCTCAGCGTGCAGAAGATGTGCACGCATTAGAACGCGAGAGTTCGCTTATCATCTGCTCGAGCTGCAGCAGCAGCAGCAGCAGCTGCTGCTGCTGCTGCTGTGCTGCTGCAGCACCGTCTCACTTTAGCTGCTTGAGGCGCAGCAGCGCCCGTTGCTCCATCGATGCTGCAACAGCGCCGCAGCTGCAGCAGCTGCAGCAGCTGCAACAGCGCAGCAGCTGCAGTAGCGGCAGCAGCTGAAACAGCGCAGCAGCTGCAGCAGTTGCAACGGCGCAGCTGCTGCAGCAGCTGCTGCAGCTGCTGCAGCTGCTGCAGCTGCTGCAGCAGCTGCAGCAGCTGCTGCAGCAAGCTAGTCGACCTTGATGCGGGAGTAGACAGTTTTAACAAAAAAAGCAGCAGCAAAATAAGAGACGCAGCCGAGAGAAAGACAAAGGCCCCAGGCCAGCAGCAGCGAATAAAGCACGAAGTGCAGCAGCTGCAAAGTGCTGCTCATTGAAGAGCCCCAGAAGTAAAAGAAACAGTGCAGCAAAAAGTAAAATGCCACGCTGCTGCAGCACGCACACCCACGCAGCAGCAGCAGCAGCAGCAGCAGCAGTATCAGCAGGAGTAGCAGCAGCAGCAGCAGTAGCAGCAGCAGTAGCAGCAGCAACAGCAGCAGGAGTAGCAGCAGCAGCAACAAATACAGCAGCAGCACGAGCAGCAGCAGGAGTAGCAGCAGCAGCAACAGCTACAGCAGCAGCACGAGCAGCAGCAGGAGTAGCAGCAGCAGCAGCAGATAATAGCAAAGCTGTGCAACTCAAGAAGCATTTAATCTATTGTGCGGTGTACGTACTGCGTGCATGCAGTGCATTCAGTGAATTTTGAAAATGAATTTTAGGAAAAATAAAATAATTATAAATATCTCAAATTCGATTATTTAATTCCTTTGTCCTTATTGCATTAATTTCATTAATTGCATTGATTTTATTGACTCCACTACTCAAATTGCATTAATTCAATTTGTTGCGTCACTTTTATTGTTTAGATTCGTTTTATTAATGGCATTAATGGCACTTATTGCATTTACCGCATCTATTACATTTATTGAACTTATCGAACTTTTTGAATTTGTTGGATGTTTTGCATTAATTGCATAATTGTATTAATTGTATTAAATGCACTAATTGCATTAATTGGAATAATTGTATTAATTGTATTAAATGCATTAATTGCATTAATTGCATTAATTGGAATAATTGCATTAATTGCATTAATTGCTTTAATTGCATTAATTGCATTAAATGCATCAAATGCATTTATTTCATAAATTGCAGAAATTGCATTTATTGCATCAATGGATTCAAATTGAACTAAATGATTCAAACTGAATTAAACGATTTAAATTGTATTAAGTGTTTTAAATTGAATTAAATGATTTAAATTGAATTAAATGATTTAAATTGAATTAAATGATTTAAATTGAATTAAGTGATTTTAATTTAATTAAATGATCTTAATTGAATTAAATGGAATAAAATAATCAATGAAATGCATTTTTGCAACAAAAGCATTAATTGCAATAGTTGCATTTATTCGACTAACTCGATTTAACGAATCAATTGGATTTAAATCGCATTAAATGGATTTAAATTGAACTAAATTAATTAATTTAATAAATTAAATTAATTAAATTAATTAAATTAATTAAATTAATTAAATTTAATGAAAAGGATTTGACTCACCCCCCACTCCAAAAGGCGGGCCAGTGCCACCTGTGGTTCTCGGCGTTGAGGTGTACGTACACCAGAAGCACCGCAACAGCAGCAACAGCGAGCAGCAGCAGCAGCGCAGCAAGAACGAGAAAAGAATAAATGCCGAGGCTGCTGCTGCTCCAAATAGAAAGATATAAATAATGCAATTCTAAATAAATGCCACTAAAAGGAAAAGCAGCAGACAAAAGACACAGAAAAAAAGGCCGCCGGTACCAACGAGTCCTCGGGATTTCCCGCGCCAGCTTGTGCGTCTGCAGCACACAAAAACCCTCGAGGGTTTAGGGTTTAGGGCTTACGCTTAAGGGTTTAGGGTTTAGGGTTTAGGGCTAAGGGCTTAGGGTTTGGGGTTTAGGGTTTTCAAGGGTTTCGGGCGCACGGCCACAGCCAGCGGCTTACGCCACTCACAGAGAAAGCTCTATGTGTTAATGATTTAAAGAATAGAAAACTAGGGTTTAGGGTTTAGGGTTTAGGGTTTAGGGTTTAGGGTTTAGCGACTAGGGTTTAGGGCTGCAGTCAAGCGGAAGATAATAAAAAAAGAGCAGCAAGGAAACACTAAAGAGCGGATAGAGGAGATAAAGAGAAACGGACAAAAAAAATGAATAAAGAATAAAAAAGAAAATAAAAAGAAATAAAAAAATAAAAGAAAGAAAAGAAGAGAAATGCATTTTATTAAAAAAGAAAACAGATTCAGCAGCAGCAAAGTCGGCAGCGGGTGAGCGCCGCCAGGCTAAAAAGCAGCAGACGCGACAGCAGCAGCAACAGCAGCAGCAGCAGCAGCAGCAACAGCAGCAGCAGCGGGCTGTGGCTCTGGCAATCTTCATGTTTCACGCTAAGGGTTTAGGGTTTAGGGTTTAGGGTTTGTGTACAAGCATGAGGCCTGGGAAGAGCCCTCAACAGCCTCGACACAACAAAGAGTAAAAACGGATTTGAAAGTAATAAATATGTTTCCTTAAAAGTGTAAAAAAAGAAATGATTTCAAAATGCAGCAGCAGCGGCAGCAGCAGCAGCAGCAGCAGCAGCAGCAGCAGCAGCAGCACTCACTCTGCAGGGAAAGGCTCTGCCCGTGGACAGCTGCTTCAGAGCTCTGCGGCGGCCCCAAATGCCCCCAAAAATGGTCAGCGGGACCGTCACTGCAGCAGCAAAAGCAGCAGCAAACCCTGCTGCTGCTGCTGCTGCTGCTGCTGCTGCTGCTGCTGCTAGGGGTGTTGCTGCCTTTGCGGACGACAGCACACCAAAGCGCGCGATAAGAACAGCAGCAGCAGCAGCAGCAGCAGGAGCAGCAAGACAAACGACAGCAGCAGCAGCGGCCGCAGCAGCAAAGCAGACAGCAGCAGCAGCAGCAGCAGCAGCAAGACAAACAGCAGCAGCAGCAGCAGCAGGTACCGAAGAAGAAGCAGGCGAGAAGGGCAAAGGCGCTGCTGGGAGGAAGTGCTGCTGTGGATCCCGTTAAAGCCGAAACCACATTTAAAGTCAAGCACACGAAGAAGGCGGGGAACTGCAGCGCAAACCCTAAACCCTAAACCCTAAACCCTAAACCCTAAACCCTAAACCCGAAACCGCAAGCCAAAGCAGCTGCAGCAGCAGCAGCTGATGCTGCTGCAGCAGACTGTGGCTCTGGCGGCCTCCACACTTACGCACAAAAGGTCGAACTTTAGGCCTAAACGCCAAACCCTAAACCCTAAACCCTAAACCCTAAACCCTAAACCCTAAACACTCACCATGAAGATGGCGCAGGCGGAGACGATGTTCCAGGCCCAGCGGTTTCCTCCCAGCTTCGTGTACAAGTTAACACTCACGAACCCGCAAACAACTGCACGCAAAACCCCTAAACCCTAAACCCTAAACCCTAAACCCTAAATCCCAAACCCTAAACCCCTAAAACCCCAAACTGTAAGCTCCTAAAACCCCAAACCTTAAACCCTAAACCCTAGACCCTACACCCTAAACCCTAAACCGTAGACCCTAAACCCTAAACCCTAGACCCTAGACCCTAAACCCTAAACCCCAAACCCTAGACCCTAAACCCTAAACCCTAAACCCTAAACCCTAGAAGAGGGTGGCTAGACGCACAGGAGGTGAGGAGGTAGCCAACGAGCATGAAGGAAAGAAAAGAAGCTCGCGGAAAAAGAGCAGCAAAAGAAGCAGCAGCAAAAGAAAGAAAAGACACCAGCAGCAGCTGCAAACCGCTGCCCAAGAAGACACACAAAATGTTGCGCTGCTGCGGAGGCCGAAAGACATCTGCATGCAGCAGCTTCCAGCCTGCGCAGACACCCCACAGCTGTACAGACACCTCGCGCCCCACACGCCCCACAACCCCACAAGCCCCGCGCCGGCGCCACGCGCACAAGACCCCACACGATCCCACACGATCCCACACGATCCCACACGATCCCACACGATCCCACACGATCCCACACGATCTTTCAAGACTCATAAGACCCCACAGGCGTTTGAAGATCCACACGATCCCACACGATCCCAGAAGACTCATAAGACCCCACAAGACCCCACAAGACCCCACAAGTTCCCACAAGATCCCTGAAGATCCCAAAAGATTCCAAAAGATCTCAAAAGATCTCCAAAGATCTCAAAGGATTC